TTTTCTTTTAACATCATTTGTATCTATTAAGTGTAGATTTAGTTCAATCCCTTCTTTTAAATTTAGATTCTTAAGAATTTCTTCCTTGATTTGTGAATTTTCTTCAATTTTTAGAAAATTGCAAGTGCATTTTTCTTGGTTACTAATACATTTGCAGTCTTATAATTTTTTAAATTTCTTTTGTTCTAATATTCTAGGTTTGAAATTTGAAATTATAGGTATTAAAGAGCAGCTTTTACTAATAGTCAAATAATCTTTATTTATGATTATTTGTCCACTGTTGTGAAGAATAAAGTCTAATCCCATGATTATAGGGATTTTGTGGTTGTTTAAATTTTTAACCCAAATTTTGGGCCAATGATATGTATCAGACCAATTATTACAATTGGTTTGAAATCTTACTTGTAAATTTTTTAATTGTGAGTCTATAGCAATTTTAGTACCATCAAATTGTGTTGAGACAACAGGTGGCACTTTAACTATTTTTTGTTTAATTTCTTCTGGTAAGATTCCCAAGTCTATAGTAGATGAGGTTGCTCCTGAGTCTACTAAGATTGGTAAAATACATGTTAATCCATGTATTATTATTTTTCCAGGAATTACAATTTGAACTAATTTTTCAGTGTTACAAATTAAAGGTACGGGAGCAGTACAAGTTTCTGCTTCCTTTGTGTTGATAATGTTTAGTTCTTCTTGGGATAATTGGGTGAATTTAAAATTTTTCTCTTCTGATATTTGTTTCCCTTTTTCTACCAAAATTATTAGTTTATGTAGTTTTTCTTCCACAATATCTAGTCTTTTTTCTAAATTAGTCACTCTAGTTTCTAATTGATCAATTTTATTTTCAGGATTTTTTATTGTGTTAATTTGTTCTAAATTTGGAGTTTCAATCTCAAAATGCTTTTTAATGCAATTTGAGCAAATTTGCTTCATACATGTCTGGCACTCCCACCTTTTATTAAAAGTTGGATACCAGTTACATTTATGACACATAATATTGTCACTTCCTTATTTAAATTTCCAATTATGTATTCAATTTTCCATTTAGAAAAGATTAAAATTATTTAATTTTTCTAAAAGGATTCCATTGTTTGGAAAATTATCTTCTTGAATTTCAACTTCTTCAGTTTTCATTCCTTATAAGGAACAAATACTCCAAATTTCAGATTCACTAGAAATATCAGATGCTATTTCTACCAAATCTTCATTTATTGTGGAAACTAAATTTGATTCCCTGGTAAATAAATTTTTTCTGTTTGAACAGACAGAAGATAAATGTCCAGGTTTGTTACAAGCAAAACAAGTAATTGTTTTCTTGTATGTTTTATTAGGATTGTATTTCCTAACATGTCTTGTCTTGTTTAGGTAGGGTTTTCTTGCATTTGATTTTCTCAAATATTTTTCTTAACATAATTTTTCTTTTGTTTAGTTTGTTTTCTTTGGCACTCATCATCAGGATGTTTTCCATACTGTTGAGGAGTGTAAATTTGTTTGCAAAAACCTACATTCTTTTGTTTTAATTCTTTTTGAATTTGAATGTAAGTGAATTTTTTCTTTAATTCACTAATAATGTGTTGAATTCTTATTCCTATATTGTCAAAAATATCATTGGCTTGTACCAATTTCCATCATTCATGGATTTCTTTACCCAATGGTCCGGGTAACTTGGTAAAAAGCCTTTCTCCTAATTCTGGGGAAAAATAATTTCCTGAAATACTTGCTAGAGCATAAAAGTCTTTGAGGAATTCTATTACATGATTCCAATCAAATAATTGAATTTGTTCCAAGTTTCTCATAGCTTCTGCTTGTCTAATTGTTAGTCCAGTGTTGGCATCTCTGCCTGTGATAATTCTGTGTATTAAATAAGAAAAATTATGTATATTGCTCCATTGAGCAATTAATTCCGCTAATTTGTCTGGAAAATTTGTTTTAAAGGCTTCCTATGCAGCCCTAACAATATCTCCTAAATAATTTTCAGCAATTTTGATCATTTCATCACCGATATTGAAATGTCTCTTTCAAAATCTCTAATCATCATAGCAGTCCATTGCTCTAAATAATTATCCAATAATTGTGGATGAATATTAGTAATGTTTAAAATTATAGGATCTTTTTCCAAAATTTGAATTTCATGAGGAGTTCTTTTTCCCAAAGTTCTCCTATTAGGATTGTTTTGGTTGTAAATTGTGACAGGTAGTCTAGGAGGATGTCCTACTGGGTAAGCCATCTGTTCAGGAGTAGCAGATGGATAGTATGAGGATGTGGCAGTGTTTTGATTTATACTAGTTTCTGCTGTATTCATAAAATTTTTTATTGAATTTTCTTCTAGACTCATGTTTTCTTCTTCTTCAATTTTTTCAAAATTTTGTTTTAATTTGTGGATATCATTTAGATATTTTTCTAGTAAATTATATTTTTCTGAATTTCTCATTTTCAATTCTTGGTTTAATTTTTCCATAATTAATTCATCATTTTTAATTTTTTGAAATTCTTCTAATGTGAGTGCTCCTGAAATTTTTGAATCCATAGTCTATTCTTCTTCCGGATCTTGTTGGTTAGAGTTTTCAAAATTTTTGAATCTTAATAATAAAGATCCATTTTCATTGGTATAAGTTACTACCTCTGTTGGTTTTAAAGTTTCAATTTCAGTGGTTAAGTTTTCAATTTTCCATTCTTCTCCTGCCAAAAGAGAAGAAGAGACTGGTTCTGGTCCAAAGAATTTGATTCCTTTAGACTCAATTGTCTTAATTATGTTATCAATTTTAATTTTAAATCTTGGGCAAACTTGTGTAGATAATCTTCCCATTAAGATTACGTCCAACACAATATTTGATCCTTTAAAATTTCCAAATCCCTTTGTTTGGACTTGAACTTTTAAATACTTAATGTCTTTTAAGGCAATAGTATAATTTGGACATAAATAATGAATTCCAATATTATTATTCATGTCTACTTCTATTACCCCAATAATTTGTTTATTTAGTGAGGATTGTATCTAGTATCTAAAACAGCAACTAAGACTTTTGTCCCGTTTTGTTTTATTAGTAATCCTCTGACTCCAATTGTAATTAATCCTAAATGTATATAATTTAAATTTTTGGAAGAAATTTGATTTATACTTTCATTTGTTAATAATCCGAACGTTTCAGTCCTTCCCTCTGGTATTTCTAACATTTCGGATCTATGTGTTCTAATTAAACTGGAATTATTTTCTAAAACTCCAGTTCTGTATAACATATTTGGTCTTAATTTATTAATGCAATCATTTGACATAATTTCTAAATCTTTTTCTGTGTCAACAATTTGTTCTAATTTATAGGAATTTTTGTTTGAGTTAAATTTTAAAAGTCTGTTTAAATAAGAGGGACTGTTGGTTTGGTTTAATGTGCTAATTCTTCAGTTAATGTTCTTGACCTTCCCGTAAAAGGATTCATTATTTATTTAAATTTTTCTTGACTTCTTCTAAATTGTATGTCAAAAAATTTTTTGCTTTGGATTTAATTTGTGAAGAAATCTGAATATTAGAAAATTTTTTGGATAACAAATCAATGGAATTATTTATCTTAATTAGTTTTAGATTTTCAATTATTTGTTTTTCTCTTATTACTAAGTCAAATTTTGTATTAAAATTTTTAATTAATTTTAATAAATTTGAAATTTTCTTTTCTTGTTGTTCCATCATAGTTTTTAAATAATCAATTTGTTTTAAAATTATTTCATTAGATTGATTCATATTAGCAGATTAATTTTGCTATACAATTTTCAATTTTTTCTAAAATTTCTTTGTGGGATTCATAAGTGTTTTCCATTGTTTTATAAAAAGAGGAATTTGGGTCATAATTTTTTCCTTCAGTGTCTAGCCATTTTTTAGATTCTAATGCTCTAGTTTTATAATAAATCTTGTAATATTTTAAATGTGAAATTTTTTCAAAAAAATTCATGCCGAAATTTCTGTAATATAACTTTTCATTTCAAGAATTTTTTTAAGTGTAAATTCGTAATTATTATAGAAATATGCATATTGTTCCCAATTTTGTAAATGACAATATTCTTGCATGTATGCTAGAAAAATTTGAAGATTATGTTCATATATTCTAAGTTTTCAAATGCAAAATTTTAAACATGGATGAATCATTTTAATTTCTCAGAATCGTAATAAGCTCTGATACCAAATATGGGGGGGTATGCCTCCGTAGAGGTTTAGCTTGTGAAAAAATAAAAGATGTGAAAATTAGGATAGTAATTTGTGAAAAAGAAATGATGTAATAGTTTGAGAAGTGACTATCCAATGACATGTAGTACATGGCATTAATAATTTTTGGATTAGTTAGGAAATAAGTCAAAGTAGAATAGTGTTTTGAATTTATAAGTTCGGAGATAAATTTTGAAGAGTTTGGATATGTGTAGGAATTGAAATGACTATCTAATGACATGTAGTACATGGCATTAATATTTTTTGGATTAGTTAGCTAGGAAATAATACAAAGTAGAAATGTTGTTTGAATTTATTTGTTTGGAAATAAATTTTGATGAAGAGTTTGGATGTGTGTAGGGGTTGAAAATTAAATTTAAGGTGTAAGGATTAAATATATATATTTTTTCACAAGCTAAACCTCTGCAGAAACATACCCCCATAATAATAATAATAATAATAATTATATATATATATATATATATATATATATATATATATATATATATATATATATATATATATATATTGTGTGTGTATATTACAATATAATGTAACAATATACTTGAAACTTGGTTCAATTAGACTGAATCACAAAATTATAAATGTCACAACTCTCAAGTGATTGAGTGAACATTAATGATTGATTTTAGGAAATAAAAATAATAATTTTCTTGATTAAAAAAAAAAAAAAATCACTAGTAATGCTACAAAAATTTATCATTGCACAAGACAATAACTGCCTAATTTGCCATCATATAATATTCTCAAAACAATGAAATCAAGGGCTAATACACAGCTAAGGAAATAGAGAAGAAATGGAGTTAGATTATCAGACATGAGGACACCTTAACTTATGCTATATATATGTTCTTGGGCATAATTGCCTTTCAGAAAGTGCACGAAAAAGATTAGGTTCTGTCAATAAAATTAACATTATAGCACAACATAAGCTCTAACTAGTTACAGCAAAATAGCAAAAGGTTTTCTTCAGACTCCTTGCAACTAAAAGATGGTGGAAGGTGACAAGAGTGTCATCTTGGTCGTTTAGCTCCAAGGGGAAAAGAGACTCGCTGAGGAGCCTCTTGAGGCACATCTGTCCGATCTTGGGAAAGATTTTGGTTTTGGTTAGATGCGGGATTAGGATCGGAACCCTCTTCCTCCTCAGTTTCTTCCACATGTTGAGCAGTTCGTTTCTTGGGAATAGCAAGTTGATAGTTGGGGCTGATCAAGGTATCTTGTTCAGGAGGCAGTGGGATTCCAGGTCCTGAAATTGATTTTGGAAGAGGAATTTTGTTTCTGCTTCGAGCCAACTCTAACAGGACCTGGCAAACAGTTGTTAGATACCATATGTTCATTAAATAAGAATTGACATCAGATGGCAAGAGATCCACACTTGTAACCACAAGGTCACAAGTTCAAATTCTTACCCCCTTGGTTTGAGCTGGTCAGCTATGGGTAACCTAGGCTGGTTTATTTCCTTGTGGTCCTTTGCCAGCTAGGGTCATCACAAGGCAGGGTTTACCTACACCTAACATAATAGATCGGAATACACTATCATTCTTTTTCATTAAGACCAGTCTTTGCTCATCCATGGCTCCTTCACTTCACTCTTTCATATCCATACACACAATTTATAGATATACACAACACATATTTCAACTCATAATAATATGTAATGTTTGCATCATAGAAAGCATGCATTATCTAATCTAAGTATAAACATTGAACTTAAAAGTAATGGAGTGTATACCTCTCTGGGAGGGGGTGGAGCAAAGCTAAAATTAACTTTAGACTGAACTGCAAGCTTGAGATCATCAGAGTCTATCACAGTCTTGGCAGCATGCTCCGAGTACACCTGTGCATCCATCAACACATCAACAGCATGCCTATACATAAGCTCCAGGAACTGGTGGACCACACGTGGTTCGTACTCTTCAACACCCATTGATTTGAGTAGGGTTTTCACCACCTTTGCATCCCTTGGCAAGTCCTCTTCAGCTCCTTCTGCCATTTGCCTCTACTCTATATCCTTCTACCCCTCTGTGTGGCCAAATAATTCAATCCAACCACCACAGTAGTCTGTAGATTTTCAACTATCATGAAACCATTCCAAAAGATATCAGACAAAATAAACAACTTATGAAATTTCCAAAAAATAAAAAGAGAAAACATGTAAAGATCTGGAAACTTTGTGAACAAAACATGTTTTTGATAGAAATATCATAAAAGAGGAAATTTGATAATGCAAACCCTAATTAGTGCGACTATTACCTCTTGAAGACCAAGATGAGAATTCACAAGAAAGAATAGAAATCTAGGTGATTGATTTAATGATTTTTTCTGTGAAAATATTTTGAAACTCCACTCATTTATTGACAACTTTGATTTAGAATCTTTGGTCACAGGGTCAAGATTGGGGAACTCTAAACCCTTCATGGCTTCATTTACTTCCTGTTGGGCCCAAAAAGAACAGTGAAAACAATGGCCAATTATCCATTGAAATTTTGTTAAAGATTTTGTCATAGTTTGCAGTTGAATGTTGAAACCAAATAAGTAAAAATGCAAAATACAGGGCTATGGACCCACTCCTCTCTTCATATTTATCAGTATTTAGTATACACTAGATGCAAATTAACATTCAATTAATGCAAATAATCAATTCAAAATACAAAACCAGACAAGTATCCAGAACTATAAATTAATGATTCAGACCAATCTAGCAACTTAGTACTTCTACTCAAACTTGTCATTATTTCTCTTTAAAACTCAGACTTGGAAATAGGGAAGTGGGGCTTGGTTTGGTTTGATGACCAAACCAAAATTTTTGTAATTGTTCCTCACTTTAACCTGAAAAGTTCTTTATTGGTAATTCATATTGAAAGAAGTATACATAGAGACAAAATGCATTCAAACATTTTCACATAGGGGTGGGCGTTTCGGTTTTGTTTTCTTGTTTTCTTGTTTTTTGGTTTCGGTTTCGGTTTGTTCAGTTTTGAAAAAATGAAACCATTCGGTTTAAAATTGTAGTTCGGTTCGTTTTGGCTCCGTTCGGACTTCGGTTCGAGAATCCCAACTTCCTCTTCTGTTACAACCATATTGTTATTGTTATTGTTATTATTATTATTATTATTATTATTATTATTATTATTATTATTATTATTATTATTATTATTGTAGTGGGATATGGGATAGCCACTTTCTTAGGTAGTTACAACCACTTAGGTAGTGGGTAGTGGGTAGTTTTATATTACTATGTATAAATAGCTACATATGTAATTGAAGAAGGGGACTTTGGAAATTCAGAAACTTTTTGGCTTTCTATTAAGGAAAGATTGGGGAGACGAAGCACTCCAGAAACGCTTCATTTGTATTCTTAAGTTCCTAGGCCTGTGACGCGATCCTAATATCCCGGTGCCTATAACATTTGGTATCAGAGCCAACGTCATAGGCGATCAGACACTGGCAGATGCCATTCAGAACCTCCGGACCACAGTCGAGGCTATGAGGGTTGATCAGGAGGCTATGAAGGCTGATCAGGACGAACTCTGAGCTATGTTCCAGCAGTTCTTGGCCGGAAAAGAGGCTGCTTCCAGCAGCCACAACGCGCCCTCTCCTCCTCCCGCGGAGGAGGCACCACCTCCGCCACCCTGCCCTGCTGCCACCACCACTGCCCCCAAATTTACCAGGCCGGAGTTTCCCCGTTTCGACGGGCGAGAGGACCCCTCCGGCTGGCTTCACCAGTGTGAGCAGTTTTTCCGGGTACAGGGCACCCCAGCCCGCGATTTTGTCAGCCTGGCGGCCTTCCACCTGACCGGGGTGGCGCAACTTTGGCATTTCCGGCTAGAGATGGAAGAGCCGGAACTTACCTGGCTTCAGTTCAAACAACGTTGCTACCTGCGCTTCGGCCCTGGCCTCCGGGGTAATGCGTTGGGTTGTCTTGCCAAACTGAACCAAGGAGGCGGCACTGTCGAAGACTACTCTGATGACTTCCAGACGGCGCTGCTTCGTACATCTTCGATTCACCATGACCAAGTCGTTGACCTCTACACCGCGGGATTGGACGACTGGCTACGCATCGATGTTGAAAACCAGCGTCCACCGAACATGGATGTCGCCATCAACCTCGCCAGATCTTACTCTCGCCGCCAGCTCTCCGTACCCGACCACCGTCCGCGACCGTGTCCGGCGTTCTCTTCCTTCGCCGGTGATACTTCGTTGCGTCCTGGGCAGTCCACTCCGGCGCGGCCTGGGCAGTCGGCACCGGCAACCTCCGCGAACAGCTTCCACGTCGCGAACCCTAGGCCAGCTCCGTCGTCGCCCTCTTCCGCCGGCGGTTCACGCGGGTCCTCTTCCTTTCCCACCGAACGGCGTCTCTCGCGATCTGAGTACCAACATCGACGCTCCAAGGGTCTCTGTTTTACTTGTGATGAGCGCTAGACTCCCGGCCATAATTGTGCACATTTATTTTGTGTGGTTATTGATGAGGCTAAAGTGAATATTGGGTCCGACCCAGCTGGACAACCAGGTGGTCCATTTGAGCATCAAGTGACTGATTTTGTCTAGTCCAAATAAAACACTTATGGGTTCTAATAATACACCCTGTTCCATCACCTTGAGGACAAGGTGATTTTTTATGGGCGGGGAAATGTTACAACCATAGTGTTGTTACAATTATTATTATTATTATTATTATTATTATTATTATTATTATTATTGTAGTGGGATATGGGATTGCCACTTTCTTAGGTAGTTACAACCACTTAGGTAGTGGGTAGTGGGTAGTTTTATATTACTATGTATAAATAGCTACATATGTAATTGAAGAAGGGGACTTTGGAAATTCAGAAACTTTTTGGCTTTCTATTAAGGAAAGATTGGGGAGACGAAGCACTCCAGAAACGCTTCATTTGTATTCTTAAGTTCCTAGGCCTGTGACGCGATCCTAATATCCCGGTGCCTATAACATCTTCTTTTTTTTTTTCAAATTTTGATCACATAATTACATGCTCTCAACATTACTACTTCATAGTCCAAGGTTTCAGTTCACAGAAACATAACCCAGAAGGAAGAAACAGTATAATACTCACATCTGTTCTGTTTAGTGTCTTGAAATGTTTTTACTTCAAATCATTTATAGAGACTCAATCACGCACAAAGTTTTCATCATCTCAAAAGTTCAATACTACAAGCAAAGAAAACTAAGCAAATAAAAAGGTAGAGAGAATCTGAATAACTAAATGCAAGGATGGATAGATAGAGAACAACATTCACCCTCAATCTGTGCTAAAAAGAAAAGGAAAAGTTTTTTTTAATAAACTGATTGGAACAGTAGAACTTGTTCATAAACTGCCATAGAGGTTCTGGATTGTTAAGAAAAATGTACAATTTTTATGGATACAACTAGACAGTTTAAAGCAGGAAGCTAATCAGGATACGTATGTGACTTACTGACTTAGCCTACATTCAAATCGTATCAGATAGTCAAAACTAAAGTGATAACTTGAAAAGAAACCTCAATAATAATAGTAGCATTAGAAATAGGAGAAGAAATAAAAAAAGAATCAAACACCACCAAAAAATAAAAAATACTTATTTTCTAACACAAAACACAGAGGTCAATTCATCTGGTAGATCCTTTTGTGCCAGTTTTCTCTTTCTCTAAATGTACTAGACTTCCTTATTCTTCTTCTCTGTTTAATATTGTCTATGAGGGGTAATATCAGCAAGGTGCAAGTCTTTAATTACACTGCATAAAATCAAGCACCACATATGCAAGTTATATTTTTGCAGTGTTTAGACATTTCCCAGAAACCTCTGCATAACAACAAAATATCTTTCGGACAACGGTTTAACCTATTATCTGAAATGGGAATCGATCACATTGCAAAGTGGAAATTGAAGAATCAAGACAACATTGAACATTAAACTCATTAAAGCATTTCCCTTTGACCCTTTCATCCATCCAGAATATCCAACAAGAAATTGAGACACAAAATTTGGAAGTGACCAGAGACGAAGGGGACACGGAGTTCTCGCCTACGGCTGTCGCAGGGGAGGCAGAGACCGGATTACTCGTCGGTGGCTGTCGCAAGCAGGGGAGGCGGAAACAGTCCTTGTTGTCTACTGCTCACAAGGGAGACCGTCCTCGGCGATTCACAGTAGAGGAGCCGAGGATGCAGATTGCCAGATGCCCCTAGATTAGTTTTATATTCTTATTAGGTTATTACGGAGTATATATTTATAACCGAAACCGAACCGCCCACCCCAATTTTCACAAACATCTGGTAAGCAATTCAAAACTTACCTGCCCGCATATTCAGACTCCGAATTTATCAATAATAAATAGTTCATCAACGATATTAATTTCACGAAATTGACATAAATGCAATCTTGTTACCAATAAATTACAGCTTACAGCTGCAGATGCACATATAAGTATGAACATACACATCGAAGAAGGAAACATGCATACATAGAAGAAGAAGAAGTACCTTATATTATCAGCTTTTAACAATCCTCCTTTCAACGAAAAAGAAACAGAAAAACCTAGCGGCTGGAGATGACGGAGGCACGGGGGACGGTGCCGGAGAGAGCCTAATTATCCGGTGAACAGACAATAGATGAAAATTTATGGAGAAATAGTTAAAGCATTACATGGAAGGAATAAAACGACGTCGAATTTGAATGGTGCGTTTGTTTATTTATTTTTACTTGGCACAAGTGTCAAATAGGTTCATCTAGTACTTCAAAATGCTTAATTCCCCCATCAACTGAAAAATAAATTTATCGATTTTTTTACAAGTTACCTCTGAATTGCCCCTCTACCCATGTAATTTTATTTAAATAAAAATGATGATATGTGAAATTTACTTCCTAATCTCCGGCTATAAGCCGAGAACCCTAGTCCAAGCCAAAATCATCTTCGCACATCTCTAGTTCTTCATAATCTCCCGTCATTCTTCATATGTAATCTCCGTTCATTGAACAAGTTATTTGAACTAGAATTCTTTAGGATAATGTACAACTTACCTACTTGCTCAGATGCATTGTAACGCCTTAAAATTCCTAAGCTAATCGACGCCTTCGAATGCACTGTCGTCAATTCGGAACTCTTCTGCACTGCGTCTATTCGAACATAAACTAATCGACGCCTTCGGGAATTACCTCTTCACCGCCTTCGAACACATAACGAATTATTTGCACTGTCGTCGGTTTCCAATTATTTAGGATGGGGTTAATTTTGATTATTTAGGATGGGGTTTGATTTTGTTGAAGGCTCTCACTGATTACGAAGGCTTAGGCTCTCACTGGGATTAGTTTTCGAATTATTCAGCATTAGGAATTAAGTATTAGGTTTTCGAATTATTCAGAATTAGGAATTAAATATTAGGGTTTCGAATTACAGGGTTAATTTTGTTATTTAATTGTCATGTCATTATTGCCGCATAATCAGTGATCGGGTCAAGTCATACTTCATCAAAGGTAACCTGCAAAAAAAACTAATACACAAATTTTTAGAGATAAGTGCGTCCAATTACATTATATTTTAATTGATGGGAAAACTTGAACACTTCGAAGTTGTAGATGGACCTATTTGACCCTTGTGCCTTTTGACTTTATTTACTTAAATCGATTAAATTGAAAATTATTTCAGTTAATTAAATAAAGTTTTATTTGGTGAAATACTTAAAAATATATCATTACCAAAATCTTTCAAATTGAAACATGTGTTTCATCTCATCTAAAATTCTATGGCCCTGTTTGGTAAAATGGATGTTAGCTGATAGTTGTTAGTTGTTAGCTGATTGTGTTAATTAGAGGGTATAAATAGTTGATAACATTAGCTGATTGTAGAAAAGTGTTTGGTAAATTAGCTGTTAGCTGATAGCTGTTTAGTATAATTTCTTTTTTCAAAAAGCTAATTGAAAAAGTTACTTGGAGTAGCATTTTGAATTTTAGCCTTTTGGAGTTGCAAAAAGCTAATTAACCAAATATTTATATTGATGTTTTAACTAAATCAAACAATTAATAGTGGTCAAATAAGTCAAAATTGGCCTATAGGCCAATTTTTTACCAAACAGGGCCTAAATTATAATTCTCACGGAGTTGTTATACCATGGTCCACCTTATAAGCTAGACACTGGTCCTAAACGGCGTATAAATCAGTTACATATATGTTAACATAAATTGAAGTATGTACTTCATCTCAACTAAAAATCTAAATCAATAATTAGATTACAAATTTATGTTTATATCTTATATGCTCAAGACTTCAAACCCTTTTCTCTAACACTATTTGCATGTTTGATTCACAAGAAAATATTTTTCAAAGAGAATTTTGTCCTCAAATTTGAGGAGAAATACATATTTAAATATTTTTCAAAGAGAATTTTGCAAATACATATTTTACCCTTATTTGATTAGTGGAGAATTTTTTTGTTCTAAAGGTAGACAGTTCAATTATTATATTACCCTCGTATATCTTTACTATATACGAATATTTGAATCTTTATATTAATTATTCAAAATAATAAAATCAATATTCCAATTAATTTTTTGAGTTAATGTCATTTTTGGTCCTAGACTTATGGGGACATGCACACTTTTCATCCTCCATAATAAAAATTGCCATTATGTAGCCACGCTTATTGATCCTTGGACAATTTTAATCCTCCGTTAGTTTCTACGTTTTCTTACTGTTAAAATAAATGGCTTTTTAGTCTTTTCGAGTGTTCTTCTTCTTTATTCCAGAAATAAGAACATGGGAGACAAAAATAAGGTCAAATGAACAAAATACATTGGATTATTGTTCAAAATGTTCATATATTTGTTGTAAGAGAAAGGATGGTGGCCGCTGGAAGCAATGAATTGAACTGTGAGGAGGCAGCGGCGACGACGAATCTCTATTGCTGAAGAGCTTTCATCCGGACCCATCTGTGAGGAAGCTGTGGTGGTGGCAAACTGCTGTTGCTAAAGAGCTTTCATCCGGACCCATCGACGGAGTCATCAATTGATAAATAACAATTTTTGCAGTTCCCTGTTGATGCTGGATTTTTCTATCTTTTCTAGTTTTATTTCTGCGAATTTGAGCCTCAATTGATAAATAACAATTTTTGCATCTAGAGTTGTGAATTGAATTAGATGGTCGCCGGAGGAAACCATCTGGGTTTTTTCATTTTTGCAGTTCCCTGCTCTATTTTTGAATCAGATGGTCGGCTGTGAATCCTATTTTTGCAGTTCCCTGTTGATGATGGGTTTTCTTCTATCTTTTTTTGTTTTATTTCTGCAAATTTGAGCCTCAATTGATAAATAACAATTTCGCATCTAGAGTTGCGAATTTGAGCTCTGTGAATCAACGAGCTTTCTCTTTGCTGCTGTCGTTGTTCATCGCCTGCCAAACACCTGCTGCTCATCACCGTTGCCATGGGATCTCCTTGCTGCTACCGTTGTTCACAGCCGCAACCGCCACCGACTACCACCACCGGAGAAGATCTCCTTGCTGCTCCCGTTGTTCACAGCCGCAACCGCCACTGACTACCACCACCGGAGAAAACCTCCACTTTCGTTGGGATCTGCTTAGGGAAAAGAAGACATAAAATGACATAAACGCCCTTCAATTTCACAGTCAACAAACGGCACTTCTGACGGAGGACTAAAAATGTCCAACGACGAATAAGTGTGGCTACAAATTGGCAATTTTTATTATGGAGGATGAAAAGTGTTCATGCCCCCATAAGTCTAGGACCAAAAATGGCATTAACTCTAATTTTTTTTCATAGAATTTAAATGAGTTAATAACCAAAATGGTCCCTCGACTATGCCGTAATTACCAATTTAGTCCTCAACTATCATTCTTACCCAATTAAGTCCTTAACTATACAATATTTACCTAATTTAGTCCTCTGTTAATGTATATGTTAGTAGGCTGTTAATAATGAGGGCAAAACAGTGATTTTATCCATCTCCTTCCTCACACCGCTACAATATATTGTATACACGATTATCTGTCACCTCCGACTAGATTATCTCCGATGCATCGCAGCTGTCCTCCGCTTCAACTAGATTATCTCGAGACACCATCCTCTATCACCATCTCTAGTTCAAACACATCTATCGGCTGATTTCTTATATGGCGTGTGCAACGTAACTAATCTTTTTGTGGAACATCTTGGAGCAGAACTGACACCCATCCTTCATTATCACTCCGTCTGTAAGACGTAGCCGTTAGTTTCCGGTATCCCGTTAGACTATTCCGGTAAAATTTGCGGTGGCGTGCATACTATAAGAGTTCATCATGTTGGAACCCGTATGCGGAAATCAACAGTGTCGAAAACTGAAGCAAAGTTTCATGTAAAACTGGACGGAAGTGGACTGGGAAATATTGTGGAAAAGCTTATATCTGTGGCGTGTGTATTAACACTCCCTTAAAAGCATTTGCGACCAGGGTATCGCATGCTCCCGACAGAAAAACACAGATTACACACGAACAATAATGTTCAGATTTCTCAGGCAGAATGAAGGTTCAGCGTGTGGATTATGCAATGATGGAGTGTGTTTACATACTGGAAGTATTAACACCTCCTTCATTACCATCCAAGGAAAACGCTACAAAGAGGGAGAGCAAGGGAAGGAGTACCACACACGTTCACAGTTTGTGATTAGTGTGCGGACAAGGTGGTCAAAACTCCTTTAAATAAGGGTTAAAATTAATGTGCGGAACAAAATGTTGACCCCACCACACCGCGCGTGCGATGGCGGCGGCGCACGCGGGATCTCCCCTTGTTTCCTCTTCATAACACTTCAAGCCTTCTAAAATAGGTGGTAGCTTAAATAGTGAGAGATAGTGAGGTAGCTAAGCAATGTGGGACAAAGCCTAACTCTTAAATGTTCCCAACAATCCCCCACACATTTAAAGTGGCAATGCTATACCGTACCAACCTGAGTGTACACCAGACTTAATTTCCATACCAGTGTATAAAACTTGAACTGACATGTAGTGGAACCAAGTAACCCTTTCCCGGAAGTGAATTTGATCTTGAACTCATCGGTCAGTCGAGTTTTGAACTTAGTTGCACTCATTAACTTTGTAATAATCCCTGTTTCGTCTATCTCTACATATAGACATTTCAATCTGTCAAGTCTACCTCTGCATAGACTACCTGTAATAGGCTACATATTTGTCACTGTTCTTTACAGTTTTGTAAGTCTTTCCGTGATCTCATATGCCCAACACATGTGGTGCATCATGAATTTCTTACCTCATTTGGTTTCAAACCCATCTCCCTTGAAGTATCAAGGACGGTCTTACGATTTAGACCTTTCGTGAAGGGGTCTGCTATATTCTTTTCAGATCTCACAAACTCCATTGTGATTACCCCCATTCAACATTAACTGCCTCACAGACTCATGTCTGACTCTTATGTGTCTTCTTTTGCCATTGTAGACACTGTTTTGCGCAACACAGATGGCAGTTTGTGAGTCACAGTGTATCGGGACGGCAGGTGCTGGACACCCCCACAACAGCACGTCTGCCAGTAGGTTTCTCAGCCACTCTGCTTCCTGGCTTGCTAGATCTAAAGCTATAAATTCAGCTTCCATCGTTGATCTGGCAATGCAAGATTGTTTTGATGACTTCCATGAGATAGCGGTTCCACACATAGTGAATACATATCCACTTGTTGAGCTTGCATCATCGCCACCGTTTACCCAGTTCGCATCACAATACCCTTCTAGTACAGCTGGAGACCCTTTGTAGTCTAGGCCCCAGTCTACAGTGCCTCTCAGGTATCTTAGTACCCGTTTTAGTGCATCCCAATGTGAGACACTCGGGTTGTGGGTATAGCGACTGAGTTTGTTTACTGCGTATGCAATGTCGGGTCTAGTATAGTTCATGAGAAACATCAGACTACTGATTATTTTTGCATCTCTTCTTGTGACACACTATTCTCTATGTTCTTTGATAATTTTACACTGGGATCATAAGGGGTCTTGGCTGGAGTTACATCATAACTCCCAAACTTCTTTAGAAGTTTCTCCATATAATGACCTTGAGATAAGAGGTAACCCTCCTTGGTTTTTGTGACTTTTATCCCAAGTATCACATCGGTTTCCCCTAGATCTTTCATGTCGAATTTATCACATAGATTTCTTTTCGTGTCTTTTATAGCCTCAATATTAGGGCTAAAAATCAACATGTCATCTACATAGAGACAGATGATCACAATGCTAGACTTTATCTCTTTAGTATATAAGCAAGCATCTGACCGGTTAGTAGTGTAATCCAGGTCTAATAAAGTTTTATGAAATTTTTCATACCACTG